TAAAGTTGTCCGTTGAGGATGCTTTTGTGAAGTTCATTGCGGGGGAGACCACAGCAGCCGGGGCATGGAAGAAGTTGAAACAGAACTTTGAGAAGACCAGCAATGCAAGAGTGGTCTAGCTCACGGGGAAGCTGACCAACATGAAGCGGAGAGAAAAGCAGAGCATTGCTGAGTATCTGGGGGAGTTTCGAGAGATCAAGGTAGATCTGGAGGCGGCAGGGCAGACCATTTCGGATATGCAGCTGACGGTGCATGCCTTGAAGGGGCTGCCTGAGGAGTATGAGACTCTCAGAGAATCCTAGAGGCGGAAGACGATGAGCTGAGCCTGGACATGGTGCAGCCAAAGCTGATGCAGCGGGAGCAGAGGCTGCAAGGTGAGAGCAAGCCTGCGCCGGCAGAGAGTGCAGACGGGGGCCAGGCGTCGGCCTTTGTGGCCAAGCATAGGCACTTTGGGAGCTCAGGAGGGAGCACGGGCAGCTCACGCGAGCACGCGGGTAGCTCAGACTCGCGGAGTTGTTACGGGTGTGGCGAGACCGGTCACATTAAGCTGAACTGCAAGTTCAGAAATGCAGAATGCGAGAACTGCGGCAAGCGGGGGCACACAAAGGCGGTGTGCAGGCAGCCGGCACGGAGAGCGGAGCGGGCGTATGCGGTCAAGGAGGGTGCAGACGTGCGCGGAGTGGCGTTCACAGCGTGGCGGGGCGGCGCTGGAGCTCAGACGGAGGTCTGGCTTGTAGATTCCGGCAGCACGCAGCACATCACAGGTGATCGGAGGAAGTTTGTGAGCTACAAGAAGCTCGCACAGCCGGAGGTGATTGATGGGATCGGGGGAGAGCCCCTGACAGCGGTCGGAGTTGGGATGGTCGAGCTACAGTGCAGGACCCCAAAAGGTGTGGGCACCGTGACATTGTACGAGGTGAGGCACGTGCCCAAGGCGAGGGCAAACTTGTTTGCTTTAAGACGAGTGACAGACGCGGGGGCGAGGGTGACCACTGAAAGGCGGGTCGCTCAGTTCGAGCTAGGCGGAGTTGTGTGCATGGAGGCGGAGGAGAAGAACGGCCTTTAGGAGATTGCAACGGCCGGAGCAAAGCCGGTAAAAGGGGTGTGGTTATTTGACGAAACCCCTCGGTACTCGATGGACGGAGCAAAGAAGGCGCCAACGGCGCAAAAGAAGGCGCAAGCGGAAAGCGTGAAGGAGAAACGGGAGGAGCTCGTGGAGATTGAGCTCGAGTTTGACGAGGCCGGGTTAGAGCCTCAAGCGGAGAAAGCGAAGAACGGGGCAACGGGGGAGCCGGTAGGAGAAAAGACCCCGGCAAACATGCAAGGGAACGGGGAGGAAACGGGGAACCCGGGCGGCGGCGGCAACGGAAAGCCGTGGAGATTGAGGAGATTGACCTCCCGGGGAGCAACTCGGAGAATGAGAAGACGCGAGAGAAGATGGACAAGAGGCGCTATCCCAGAAGAGTCCGGAAGCCGGTAACGTGGTTGGAAGCCGCCAAGGGTACGAGCGGAAAGGAGAAGGGCTAGAACACTAGAAGCATGTCGGCTGAGGGGGAGTGTTGGAAGTCGTTGACTCACTCAGAGTCAGTCGACTGCTTATCGACGGCCATAATTGCATAGGCTATGGAGTCAGTTGGATCGAACGGTAGAGAATAGCCTAGAGCCCAAAGGATTGATCAGAACTTGGAGTGTATGGAGTAGCCTCAGTGTTTCCAGTCTAAGACTAGAATAGTCAGACTGGAATGTGACAGGCAGCTTGCTTGATGAGAAGGAAGATGAACATGATGTAATCATTCTGAGAGAAGTGCTTAGGAGAAGATCGAGAGGCGCTTGGGTGTAGGGCGTTCAAGCCCCAGTGAACCTCGGAATGTGTCCGCGTGTTGCACGGGCATGAGAAGCTCGCGGGGTAGATGGAGTGCTTATAATGTTGCATGATGGGTGATTCTCAATATCACTCACCGCCACCAGTTGTCAGACCTCAAAGGTGTGGCGTCCGTTGCTTTGAGGGGCGCTTCGCTCTTCGATGACATCCACAGCAAGGAGATCGATCTGGGCGAGCTGCTCTCGGCTCAAAGGATCACTGCTCTTGATCTCGTCTGGCAGATTCGGCAGCAGGGTTGATGGTAGAGGCAATTATCTTGGAAGCGATAAGGAGACCGTTGATCACCTGAAAAGTTCGAATGACGTTGGAGTCGACATTCGTAAAACTCTTTGCTCGGTCTTCGTCACGTAAAGGCTGAGAACGGCTCGGTTCGTCAGTTAGCAATGTCTTCAGCCTAACGCCCACTTCTCTCTGCGACGCAAGAAAATGTACTCTCAAAAACACAACCACTGAATCGATCTTGGCAAAATATGAAGCACGATGACCTCTCAAATCTACACAAGAAAGGTCATCAGTTCCTAATGTGCGCTCAGGTACGTTGCAAACCTGGCGCACGGCCCGCGTGCATTTTGCACACGCTAGCCCGCCCGCTTTGGAACGGCAAGACCGCGAGCCAACCGTATCTGAAAGGGGCTATGAGCGTGCATTTTAACCTGTCTAAGCTGCCCTACAATCCCATTTGGACTGAAGCTTGCCGACCTGGGCCCAGACACGTTTTCAAAAGGTAGCCGCCAGCGTGCACGGGTGCAAATATCTGAAGGGAAGCCTAGATTAGAACCGATGGCAGTCAAAAGCATTTTAATTGCGACGAAAAGACGAACCTTATCCATTGGACTAGAAGCGGGAACGAAGGCGCGATCGTCAACAGCTCTTGCGCCGCCAGCAGGTACCGGGTCAGGAGAACTCGTAGATCGCGCGGCATGGAGTCCACCTTCCCGTCGAGGCCCTTGAGGTCGTATTTCCCCCACCGCGAGTTGGCCGCCATGGCGTGAGGATTGCACCAGTTGTGGATGGTGCGGTTCTCGGGGAAGGGGGAACCGGCCAAGAGGAGTCGTGCCATCCTGGTCACGTAGTCCTCGCGGGTCTCCTTGTTCATGACCGTCAGGCAGACGCCCATGATCATGTCGGAGCAGTCGCTCCAGATACGGCAAATCGGAACGTTGTTGCCGTTGGCGTCCTGCTCCTTCTGAAGGAGCAGGAACATCGCCATGAGGAGGTTGTAGCTGTTCTCGGAGCTGCTGATCCCCTTCATAAGCACGACTGGGGGGTAATTTTCTGACTTTATGCGTCTGGGATCGGTTGCTCCTGGATGAGCACCGACTATGGTCACAACCAGCCGTTTGCAGATTTCCCACAGCCCCGTTTTGCTGCTGAGGAACGCGAGGTCTTTAACTTGGTGGCCGATCGAGTCTATAAAAACCCCTTCCTCCCGCTTTCCATACCACCGCAGCATGATCAGCATTGCTGCGTGGAAGCAGGTGATCATGAAAGGCTCACTTGAGATCCCCTTAACGAAACCGAGCACATGCCTTTCGTTGGCAGCTTCGTCAGGTCCCAGCAGCTTCTTATCCTCTAAAATGTATCGTTCTCGAAGCTGTCTCAGACCCGCAACCTCGTCCTCCCCTCCCGGCCGCTTCTTCTTTGCAACTTCCGAGGCCGCTTTTCTAGCCACCGCACCGGTTCTGCCAACCCGGGCGTTATTCCCCGTCACGACTTCCGCGTGCGACATCTCCCCTATGATCTGGGTTTGCCTAGTGTTGCCCTTCAGGCTCGGATTGAGGGAGTCGGTAAGCTCTCGCCTGGGCACACCCCTGCAGACCGAATAGCCCAGTCCCAACCCCGTCTTCGGATTGAACCGATGCGTGCAAACCTTGCCGAGCGGGAGGGTTCCCACTGCCAGCTTGGACAGCGTTCCCGCCTTACTGCCGGCCCGCAGCCGCATGCCCTGTGTGAGCTCCGACCAGACGAAGACGGTCTCGGAGAGAGACGCCTTGTAGAAAGGCTTGTCAGCAGGACCCGTGCTGGCCAGCTGCCACTCGAAGTACCCACCAACGAGCAGCATGGTTTTGCACCTCGGCCCTTCGCACTGCAGTACCATCTTCCAGTCGGGGAAGTCGCTTGGGGTTGGCTTGTTCCGCAAACCCCCCTTGCCCCGCTCCGATACAGTGCGCGTCTTCACCTGGATGTCCTTAGCCGTCACCAAAGACAAGTGCACCGGGAAATGCTGATCGACGTAGCTGATGGACGACATACTGGGTCGCCCCCGTCCCCTCGTATTCTTTCCATCCCCTCGTTTCCATGTTGATCACTCTGGACATATCGATCTGCCGGAGTGGGCAGTAGAGGCCGTCGAAGAGGGGGGGAAACCGCCAGATATCCGCCCCATCAGCCGGATCCTTGTAGGGTACCGGCCTCGCTGCAAGATCAAAAACTCACATATTTGTATTCATTACTATCAGGACTCCGCCATAGGCCAAATGATGATGATGAACAAGCCGAAGTAGGGTATCTTAGGCCCAAGCATCAGCCCCTCCCCCCTTCCCCCTTATCTTTCTCTTCATCATCATCATTTTAGTATGTAAGCATATGTGATGATGATGAAGACTTTGAATCGAGTAGATAGGGGTAGACAACAGCCGTCTAAGTACAATTGATGATGATGAACTTAGTGAACTAGCTCTATATGGGGGTCAAAAACCAACTAAGTGGAATTGATGATGATGAACCAAGTGAATGGAGGGTATAGCAGATTGGTTTGGCTTGTGGTTACGCTAACAAGCTGTGTAACCCGGATTTTACAATGAATATTGGTTTTATTTTTAAATTTCCTGATGAATTCACTGTGAAAATACCTAAAAATTAGAATGATGATGAAAATGACAATGAATGTCTATTCTTGTAATCTTCCCCATTGGTACTTCCTCCCCTGCGTTGTCTCCTGATCCCCCGGTTGTGCCGGCGGTATTTCTTCCCCGCTCTCCCCGGCTGGCTCACCCCTTGTCCTCGCCTAATCTCCACCCGGGTTTTCGCCCTCCGGCTCCGCTTGCGCCTGCCCCTCTCTCGGGGTCTCCACCTCCATCTCCTCGGCAGGGGCTGACTCCTTCACCGGCGACGTCTGCTCATTCCCAGCTTGACTCCGCCCCTCGGTGGCCGGTGTGCTCAGTCTCTGCTTTGCGGTAGGCTCCCCCCCGGCTCCTTCCTCTGGTGCCGGCGGGCCTTGTGCCGTCCGCGGCAGTCCGGACACCGTCTCACCGGAGCTGCACGCCTTACTCTCCCACTGAGACTCTCCACGCGTCTCGGTTCTGTCCGGGCTCTCCTCGCGCGTCCTCTAGGGTTTCGGCGGGCTCTCCTTTTTGGTTTCCTCCTTCCCAGCCTTTTCTGCCGGTCTCGCGCCCTCGGCCTCCGCGTCTGACTCCGTCCGGGCTCTCACTTCTGGCGGGCTCCTAGGGCTCCAGGCCTTGCCTTTCTGGGTGCCCTCCTGCGTTGGGTGGTTCGGCCCCGTACATGCGGAACAGATCATGGGCCGCTTGCCGCAACCGCTCCCGAAGCCCCGCCAACGCCTCCCGGCCCTGCCCCGCCGCGTGTTTGACCCACTGTAAACTTTGAAGCAGCCCCACCTGGGCATGAAGCAGCTGAAGCCGAGGCCCCCCATACGTGTGGGCTATCTCGCCGGGCCCCAGGTTGATCCACCAGTGACGCACCGCCATAGCTGCCTGCATCGAGTCGTAGTCTCTGCGGGGCAGCCCTTTCTTTTCGAGCACCTCCCTCCAGCCCTCGGACACGTCCACCGGCACCTGGTCGTACCAATCATCTTTGTTGTCGAACCCCGGGATATCTCCCATCGGGTCCAACCACCGGCTGGACCGTTTGACCCGCCGTTCCATCTCCTCGGGAGTGATCCCTAGCAGGGACGAGGGGACTCCAGGCTTTTTCGCAACGGCGGCTGGGTGCACCGCGCTCTTTGTCGTCGCCGCGCTCCCCTTCTGCTTCACCGGACCGTGGGCTTCTGCTCTCCCCCTCCGGCTTCTCAAGGGATACCGCGCTGACCCCAACGCCTCCTGCAGCCAACTGTTGTCCTCCAACGCGTCCTCGTCTGGGACTTTGGACCACGGATCGTTCGCGACCTGCTTGCGTCGGAGTTGGAGGAGTGCTTCTGCCGAGATCGCCTCCTCGGTTGCCCTCCCCCCCGCACCCTCGGGCTCGGGCTTGGTGGGTCGGTCGGTCGGGAGTATCTGATCAAAAAATATTGCCCCGGGCCGCGGTAATGATTTTTGCGGACTAGTATCATTACCGCTTCAAAAGAGTACAGGTCAAGGTACCTACCTCGGTATGTACCAGGTGTCATAATAAGTACTCGAATGGTACCTACTGCCCGGCATTTACGTACGGGTCTTAAATTTCCGTACAGCTCGGACTCCAGGCCCGGGGAGTTTGCCGGCCATGCAAATGAGTCCATCTACCTCGACCGAACTGTCTTACCTGTGCATGCCCGGTGCCTGAGAGACGTGCACGACCGGTTTTCTCTGGACGGGTACGAGGATCGGTTGCCATCAAGACCGAATCTCCTGAAAACGGTCGCCACTTACGGACTCGGGGAGTCTATGGATGGCAAATCCGTCCCCTTGCAACTGATTGGCCCGTCAAATTTACGGACCGGACACGGATCGGTTGCGGTCACGGTGTCACGACCGAAATCGCACATGGGAGAAGTATTGGCCGGCAATTCCGTTATTTCCAAGCGACCGAATTGTATGTGAAGCAATAATATCCGGGCAAACTCAGTCATATTTCAACCGAATGTCTACGACATTCCAGCGTGCTACAAACAATATAATATGAAGCCGGATTCTTTGACTTCGATAGAACTTTTGTTGATATTTATGTTGCAAAGTGTAGTACTATGATGTATCGTATGCCTCACTATGTCACAAAAACTTTGCACTGGCTTTGCACCTCGCAATTGTTGAATTGTATACTTATTCAAATGCACAATTGCACATATGCAATATTGTCAAGAATGTTTCTTCAACTTATTACTATGCATGATGATTGGAACATGCATACTTGAACGTTGCAAACTTCCAATGAATCTACATCGTATTATATATTTTTCAATTTGGCATGTCGTAACGATGTCAATATGGATTCATATGAACCTAGTAATAAAGTTCGATATGCCAGTCACGGGCCGCATGCGGTCTAATCCACTTCGACGTCTTTCCGCGAATGTTCGGATAGTTCGACAAGATTGAAACTTGTCACTTATTGATCATCGGTGTTTGGAATATGCCATGATCCATTGTATATCTATCATTAGTGTCTACGATGATTCATGCTGTTTGTTTCTTGAACTTCGTTGACGATCACAATTGTAAAATTGGACTTGATCGTTCCGCTAGCAATGCATGCTCACTTGGCTCACTGCATGCTAAATCGGTCGTTTGGATGAGCGACCGATCCACTATAGTTGAGGGGCTGAACTCTGCCAAATCGGTGCCGCTTGGCGACTGAAATCCCAGCATGTCCGCGAGGGCCTATGCACAATGTGCACAATCGGTCGAACTTGTAGGCGACTGATATTCCTTCGAAACTCGACCGACGGTGCTACCGATTCCAAAGGTACGTACCAAGGTAGGGAATTTCAGTTGGGTAAACGACGGTTTCGCCTCTACCTAGTAGGCACCCGTCGCGCTGACAACCAATTCGAGTCGCTAGGCCCAGGCCTGCATGCTTCAAAACCGTACGCAGATCGCCCTCAACAACGACCGATTTTGTACCTACCGTACTGCCAAGGTATGATTCCGAATAAATACATAATTATTTGCATTCGGAAGGTTGGAAACTCCAAATAAGCAGTCGGAAATTGGAATCTGCTTTTTCGGAAAGGGAAAATAACTGCTAAATCCTGTTCGGAAAGTGATGTCAAAGCCCATATGAACTAAGGTACCTACCGGTACTGCTTGAAAAGTCAGGAGATAACGATACCGGGGTACCTTTGAACGCATTCGGATTTAGGGTCGGATTCTGGATAATAATATAAGATTTGGACTCGCATTCTGTAAAATAATTGCATATTTTGAGCATTCGGAATCATACCTTGACAGTACGGTACATGCAAAGCCGGGTGCCGCAGTACCGTACGGGTAGAATGTACCTGGTTAGTACCATTGGACTGTACCAAAGGCATGACCGGGTGTACCTATTGCAGTGACGTTCTACGGTACCTACCTGTGCAGTGTCTGCAATAGCGTATGT